GATAAAATATAAAGTTTTACTGAAAAAAAAACATCTGAAATGTATTTAGAAGGTTTTAGAGATTATGCAAATGACATTTGAGATTTTTGAGATGAATAAAAGTATTTTTACTCTTAACAGGAAAATAATTTTTCACTCAGACTGGTCAGAAAAAGACTCGATATATTCAAGGACAAATCTTTAGTAAAAATATTTTATTAAAACTGATTTCATGTAAAAACGACTCGTAATGCTTACTTAAAGTCTGCCAAATTTTGTGATGATACACGTACAGTATTAAAAGTTATAGTATTAAAACTAAATATAAATAAAATGGTTATGTGGCCATATTGAGAGAGTTTGTAACCACTAAATGTGCAGTGCATGTACTCTATGTACGTAGTCTTGTCTAGTTGGCTATGATGTGACTGGGCTCATTCCAAGTGTCATGAACAAACTACTACAAAGTGTGTGTGCAATATGCACATGATAAAGTGTGAAATACTGTACATGCCGACTGGCGGGAATTTCCGAGAAATGAACATCAACATTTAACATAGTACCACAACTCTAAGTCTAAATAACTTTAATATATGATGGAAATCCCAGACCTGCACCTACAAAAATTGAGCTAAGTATATAAACCTTAAACGTATAAAGCTGCATAAATTCAGGATAAGTCAAAAGCCCTAAAGTTACACAAACTCTTCATGCTACATAAATACTACAGCTATAGAGTTCCGCATGAACTACAAAAAAACAACCTAAAGTTACATAAGTTCAATATACAAAATTCCTAAATCTTTATAAGAATCACATAAATACACATGCTCAAAATCATATAGAAATCAAAAACTCACATATTTCTTCCTGGTTTCACTTCATGAGACCAGTGAACTCCTCCAAGATGTTGATTTGTGCAATGTCCATCAGTGCCACCACTAGAAGTCACTGCATTTGAATGGTAGGTGCCTGTTTCATGGACAACAGTATCCCACTTTGGTGGTGTTCCTTCCTTGATACGTTTCTTCTGAGGTGACAACTGGGTGCTACTCACTTCCTTCTCTTTCACAGTCCTATGGTCAAATATAGTTTTTTAGAAATAAATATATACACTAATATAATATTTCCATATAACGTGTGAACTCTCATATTTTGATCAACTGGAATTAGAATAATAAATGTCATTATCATTAATGTATCATAAATATTAACTAAACCCTGTTTACAATCTAGCATGATAATAGTAAACTACATACATTAACTTTCAGTCCATTTGCACTTCCATGATTCATTATCTAATAATAAGCATGGTTCTGTACACAAATTACTTCTAAAATGTTAATTTTTGATGGAAACCAAACATATAGTCAATGCACGTGTGTACTGCTTTATCTATATATAAATATAATAGTACTGTCTGTTGTATGTCCATGTAACTACTTCACAGAGTGTGGATGGATCTTCACCAAATTTGGTATGCAGGTTCAATGTGTCCATGGGGAGATATATAAAAATTTTCAGTTTTGCACTTTGCATTTTGTTTTTTTTTATGGGCGTTTTTGCATTTTTTACCACTACTTTGCCCACTGTTGATGGATCTTCACCAAATCTGGCATGAAGGTTTGATGGGTCCATGTGGAGATACATGCAAAGTTGTGATTTCACATTTTGTGTTTTTCAGTTTTTGTGGGCATTTTTACAATTATATATATATAAGGGAAGCAGCTTTCATGTCCTAAGGTAACCTTTTATTAATAATGACTTTATATAACTTCTGTCCAGGGGATGAATACTCCAGCTAGTTAAATAATATACTAAAAGATAATTCAGACTCCCATTTTACACATGACTGATAGGATCACTTAAGTGAATGGTATCAAAATATGAAGGTTATTGCCTATATATATTCAGTTAACTTTAGAATACTACTTACCACATACACTAATATATTATTCACTCAACGGATGTTAATGTTTTAACATGACATATTTCAATAATGAACAATAAGGTACATTATAAGTTCTGCTGCAATAAAGTACAAGTAAACCAAAAAAAATTTTATAAATCACTGGTTCTCAATCATTATTGGCTCAGAACCCTTCAGTAAATGTTGATGGCTATTATGACCCAGTAAAGAGCTTTAGTGAAAACAACGTATGGCTTACAAAACACTTACTAAATAAATAAATCATCTATTACCTATTCTCAAAGTCTGTTCATAACTCTCTAACACATTCTGATGATCCAATTTTGTATTGAGTCCCATGGGTTGAGAAATACTGTTATACATCACCCTTTTAACTTAGTTTAATTAATACAGATGTTAAACAATCTGAAAAACAACATTTAGAAACATTTATTGTTCATCAGTGTTATTAACGATTTTATAACTTTAAAGAAAAAAAAAATTTTCATTTCTTAAAAAACAGTATGTCTTAACCCTATGTACATGGCACAGTCAGAATGTGTATGTTGTGACATATTACATAAATATATTCAAAATTTAATTAAGTAACTTTATCAATATATGTTAATAAACTTGACATTAAAACATAATTTATAATTCAAATTTTTATGATATTATGGTTTTAATTTCTTAAATATTAAAAAATTGTTAATCTTTACCTTTTTGTATTATATGACAATTCTCCCCTCTCAATTTTCATTTTTAGCTTTTCTCTCTTCCTTTATTTAGGTTTTAGACATTCCAAGCAATAGAAATACAAATTATAGATAATTATAAGTCAGAATATAAAATTAGGACTTTCTATCTTCTCAATCTGCTAAGATATGAATAAACAAGTTCAACTCACCAGTGAAGCTCCGCCCATCAATCTTATCTATTAATTAATATATCAAAACCCTTACTTAATATGCATTTTTAAAACTAACAGAAAGAGCTTTTTTCTCCTTTACAAGAGTTTTACTATGGTAATATTTTTTTTCTTTTGGCTAGATGTTGACAAGTCTCATTCATTGTTTATGTGTAATGATTGTTTTTAGTTCCAAACAGCTAATGGAATTTTTTTAGTATACTTATAGCTTAGTTAGAAAGTTAGTTATATTATAGTAGCCTTAAGACATTCTATTCATATATGCGATATATTTTTGTGTTATAGAATGCATATTTGAAAGCTATATAAATTTTTATTGAAAAATCAATTTAGTTAAAAAAGTAAGGCCTAACACAGTATGGTTTGCACTTGTGCTTCACTTATGATGTTTGTGATATGTGACTAATGATATTTGGTGTGATTTATTTTTGATATTCTTTTACATGTTTCTAGAGGTTATGCAAATCTATATAAATAATATGCTTGTGGTTGTAACAAATTTATTGATCAAATGCTACAAATCTCATGTCATTAGAAAGGCCTTTGTCCGAGGAGTCTGGATTGCATATTGGTTTTTCCATTCAAAATCACCTTACCTGATTTTTGCTTATTCAAATTTCTTAACACAACAAATATGCGACAAGATGGCACAATGTCTCATGTGATAACTTGCTTCAATTTCAACTTTAATTTTTTATTTCCAAAGTATTTCACACAAACAACACTTAACACACATGTAATTTCCTAAAAAAATTAACATTACACTAAATACAACTGCTATGGAGGTTTCTCAACTTTTTTAGGTCTAAAATATGCATGTGCAATTCATTCACAACCATATGTTTATCAATTTGTGAACATGCATTCAGATGTTTCTGCATATTCAGCTAAGTCTGCCATCATTACAACTTTACTATACTTAACTTTGGTTCATTTCATAGACTGCTTATAACTGTTTCATACTCTGTACCCTATTATAAATGCTATTACTATACTTTATTGTTTACATGTAGTTTTATTAAATAAAATTATGTCTACATGAGTTTGTTTGTTTGACCTCATAAAATTTTTCAAGTAGAACAAGATTTATCTATCTAAAACATAATGCCTGCAAGAAAGAGTAGCTTAAATGCCATGCATGAAAATAATAGAATAAGGAAAATTCAAGCGAAGGACACAAAAACTACTGCAAATGTTTTGTGGTTCACAGCTAATGAAAATTAAAACTGTAAAGTGAAAAAAAAATATTTTTTATTCTTAACATGATAATCACCTTGCATTCAGAATGACTCAGTAAAGACTTCAGAAATTCCTAAACAACTCTTTAGTAGAAATATTTTATTAACAATTCATATTTTTTTTGTATAAGAGACTTGAAATATTTACTAAAAACTTTTCAAATTTCATAAGTATATGTGTAGCAAACTCAGAACTATAGTTAACATTAAAGATAATTAATGGTGATCAAAAACAGGAATTTATATTCTTCCTGTTTCTCATTATTGCCTGAAAATATAGCTCTAGTGTTTACTTGTAAAAGATAAAAGACTACTATACTATTTTTCTTGATAAATTAACTTACCTGCACTACTATATTAACTATCTTTAAAAACAACACGTCAAAATGAAACTAATACACAAATAACTATTTTCAGTTTTTGTGTTCTATTACTTTATTAGTTTTAACAGCCAGCTGCTAAAAAAACTACAAGTTAAAAGCTTAAACATTTCCCTTGACAATAAAATATCCATGTTACTTTTATTAAAAATAAATTTACTTGCCGAGTTTTGGTAACTCTTTTAGATGAAACCACCTGTATTGCCCCATTCCCACCATGATGGGGCATAACAGCTTGCTGTTGGACATAGCAGTGACCAGGGTTGGGGTTAGCTGCAACTATTCCCCATGGAGGCTGAAGACCTGGAGCTGTAAGTGTTGTAGCCTGCTTAAATACCAGAAAAATAACAGGTTTCACACAATAGCAATTATTTTTCAGAATAATGAGTGAAACAGGAGTTTTAATTAACTTTATAAGCACATGTTACTCTACTATTATATAAAATTGCAAACACTAAATTTAACACACACACACCTATACATACATACATATCCCTTATATGTTGAAGCTTACAAATCATAAAATACTTTTTCACCTTTGTGAAGTACAATTTTTCATTAATCCACAGAAGATAAAAAAAAGTATCCACACCCATATCATTTATATCATTCAATAAAAAAAACAGCATAGTAAAAAATAAACATTCAATAGCACAAACTCAAACCACACCATCATGAAAGAAGAAATCGGAGATTAATTTGTTTGTTTGAAGTTAAGCACAAAGCTACACAAAGGGCTACCTGTGCTCTGCCCACCATAGGTATCGAAACCCAGTTTCTAGGGTTTAAGTCTGCAGACATACTGCTATGCCACTGGGGGGCCAGAGATTAATAAAAAATAAACAAATACAAATGCGAGAAGAGAGAGTACACTTCAAAATATGTTTCATCATTATCATTTAGCTTTCCTCCATCCTTTCACCTAATTTATATTAATTTATTTTTATATAATTTTAGGTTATTTTTAAACATGAAGTGCATATTTTACACCATTTTAACTGTTGTAGACTGGTTTTGCAAATTATTTAAGACTGGATAAATGCTATTTAATCTGAAATAATATGCTATTTAACTCTAAAAATATATTTTGAAATAAGAGATTACTTCAATTATAAATTCTAACCTAGAATTTAACTCCCTCCAGAATTGCTGAAACAAACAAATGCTACAAAATTTCTTCATTAACCCTATGAAAGTGACCTATTAGTTTTGTAAGTAGGTTACGTAACTCTCATGAAAGTTCTTTATAAAATGAAGCTAGTGGATTAAATTGTTTGAAATTTGATATGAATGCTCCCAAAAGAATGTGGTTTCGGGAATATAAAATATTTAATTTTGATTCTGATAAAAAAAATTCATTATTTAATGTAGTTTTTGAAACTCAGACTCTGAATAGTTCAAATGCAAGGTGATTTTTATTTTGAGTATAAAAATACTATTTATCTTACAGTTTTCACATGTCATTTGCATAATCTCTAGAACCTTTTAAGTGAATATCAAAAGCTTTTTAAAATAAACGTTTATATTTTATTTTCTAAACTACATAAATTTTTTTAAATTTTATTGTGTAATGTAAACGTTGTTTTACCAATATTTTTTTAAATAAGGTATGCACATATTTCCATTTCTTAATTTTAAACATTTCATTGCACCATACATTGATGATAATAAAGTTTGTGATATTTCGGTAGCTTCCACTACCATCATCAGGAGTAAAAATCTATGCGAACAGCAAGTTTTTATATAAGAATGGTCAGATTCGTGTCACCCTGGTGAATCACAACGAGTCCAACCATTTTCATAGAAAAAACCTGCTGTTTGCATATATTTTTTACTCCTGATGACGGTAGCAGAAGCTACTGAAACGTGTTGAGTCATCTTTAACTATTTAAAAATGTTATTGTGTAATGTAAACATTGTTATACCTATATTTTTTAAATAAAGTTTATTGCACAATGTTGCCGTATATATTTTATGTACATACCTTTCAGGTTTTTGTAGAAGGCTTTTGAAACTTTTTTTTTTAATATGTGTAATTTCAAGTCTTTATCTTTTTCACTTATAGTTTATCTTTAATTTTCTTTTCCAATTCTTTGTTTTTTATTATTTATGCCAATACATCAACTGGTCCTTTGCAGGATTTTATTATCATTATTATATGGCGACTCCCACGTACAGATTCTTTCGCTAAAGTTCACACACGTGAATGATGCTACCTTGTTTATACACTTTCACAATCCAAGCTACAACAAGTTAAACATATAAAAACCATTAAACATTTCAAATATGCATTTTAAAACAAAAATCATACATAATTAATTAAAATATAAATGTAAAACCTAATGCAATCTAGCTATCTATAAAACTAATACATATATGGTGAGAAACAACACTTGCCAAGCTCAAGAGAACAATGGACTTGGCTTCACTTCATCATGTTTGAAAATGAAAGCATACACATATGTTTACCATTACAGTAACAAATTTCATGAGCAAAATCTGCTCTTTCTATTGGTTATAGGCATGCCAGTCAATTCAAACTGTCACATAGCAACACAGCTACGACTCTGCAAGTGGGAATGGCTGATCTCAAACTAAGGAAACATCTAAAATGGTTAATTGGGGAGGAGAATGTCTTTTTAAAAGCCTTGAGAAACTAATAATAAAACATTTGTAATTGGTACTTTTGCAGGAGCTGTTTGCATTCCAAACACAAAGTTACTTCTCTACCAGCTATTAAAGTTGAGAAATTGTAAACACGGGCAGATCACATTGCTATATTTATTGATATAAAAAATATATTAGTTTTAAGTACTTTATGAAACAACTTACAATTAATTTAGTTTCAAATTTATAGACTATGGACCCAAGATATATTTTACGCTTTTGTGGAAGCAAGCTTCTCTATAATAGTTTTAAGAATATACAACATATGCCCATAATGTTTTTTTGGTTTCTAGCATCCCATATGTAAAGCTACTTCAAAATGTCTTGTAAATTTTTATTCATATGAAAACAGTAACCATGGATTAATAGACTTAGCTTTCTTGAATGAATTTCTAGCTTCAACATTTTTTTGCATTTTGTTATTATCAGCTTCTTTGATTTTCCTCTACAGATTTACCTCTTAATCCTCTCTCCACCCCTCCAAAAGTTTAGTGAGTTTACATCCAATTCTAGAGTCACAACTCTCATTTATGCAACAGCTAAAATCCTTGACAACTTGTTCTTTTAGCCTATTTTTCCTAATCTGTTTTCTGAGGTTAAAGTCATTTATGTTATTGTATTCACCTAGTTATGTAAAACTAAATTACCTTCAGTTTGAACAGCTTGGATGAACAAAAAGTTTTATTTTTTGTTTTATTTTTTGCAAAAGCTGTATAGGAGTGTTCATTTCTACTAGATTTATAATCTCAAAGTTACACAAGCGATTGATACATGAAAAATAGTTCTATATATATATATATATATATATATATAAGAAATAAATACCTTAGTAAGGAAGCATATTATGCTAATATGATAATAGGTAGGCAAACAAGGATTGATAAGCGTAAGGAAAAGTTCTGTTGACGGTGGAACGTAACACGTTTTGACAGAACATTGGTCTGTCTTCTTCAGGTATGATCAGAACTAAGCAATACAAGGCTTATGTATCATTTCAAAGACTAAAGACACAGGGATTAAATGTCACAGATTGTTGCTACCATGAAATCTAACATCAAATATTTAAATTTGAATTTCAATGAAGAGGAAAAAATCAGAATTAACATACACTCTAGACTTGCAACATATAAAGACAAAATATTAAAACTTAACCTTAAAAGAAATTAAAAAGAATTAAAGTCTAACAACAAGATATACATAACAAGAGCTGATAAAAGTGGTTGCACTTTAAAGTAGATAAATCACATTATAAAGCTGGTGTCAACATCTTATTAAATGACAGATATTACACCGTACTCAAAGTTGAACCTACCAAGAAAGTTCCTTCAAACATTAAAAAACTAGTTAAAGGCTGCCCTATCACATTCACAAAGAAAACATTCCTTACAGAACTATAGTATCTACCATAAGCTCACCATCACAAAACATTGTTAAATTCTTAGTTAAGAGATTAAACCTTCTACCTGAAACCAACTCTTATTCTCCCAAAACTCTCTAGACTTTTTCAACAGAATCTAAATCTTCAAACTAAACCAAGAAGATATGTTAGTACCTTTCGACATTAAATCTTTATTTACCTTAATATCTGTTGAAAAAGCTATACACTGTCTAAAAGCAAAATTAGAAGACAATCCTGTAACAAAACACCTTATCAACCTCACAGGATACTGCTTAAACAACACTTATTTTACATAAAAAGGCCAGTTTTACAAACGAAATAATGGA